TATAGATTGACGGGCAATTTTTAGTGAACTTTGCATTGATATTTAACTTGTTTTAAAAAAGACACTTAAAAGTACATAAAGCTAATAATGCGTAGAAGTTTCTAACAATTTCTCACAATTTGACGAGTTTTTTTTTGTCGAACAACTTTACAGTCTTGTTTACAGTCTTATTGATAGTTCGGTCAGACAATCCCAGGAATGGTTGCAGCCCTGGAAGGGTCAAAGGCACACATGCACTACACCAACCTCAGATCATCACGTGCAAACGAATGTTCTCAGTGGTGCCATCAAACTCATTTGCGTGTTTTGCTTGGGATTTCAAAAAGAGCTGCGTTCAACCAGTATTCAATGTGTCAGTGAGCAGAAAATTCCACAAATCCACAAGTTGCCGTCCAACTCGATAGTACTTACGGGCGACTAATGCAAGGCAACAAAACCAGTGGTAAAAGTACTTGATCCCATATTATATGTGGAAATGGATCATATACAACTAAGAAAATAATTTTATTTACTTTATTTATCTCTTAAATCTGCAAACAACGAGCATATGATAATCATCCGAATGGCGGTTAAAATGAGTTAGTTGAGCTGAGAATCTAGTCTGCACTGCTTAGAAAAACTGAAATGTCGTCTTAAAATCTTGCGACGAGGTTTCGAATTCGGTAGCAGGCCAAACAGAAGGATAAACTTGTGACAGAAACTTCAGGTTTAAAAATGATGTGACTCACAGCCGTGGGTATCTGAACATTGTGGAGATTTCCCACCTTAGTCTTCTTATGAGAATATTGGACGAAATAAATTCAGTTAACATCAATCAGATGTTACTACTCCTCGATGATTTCTTATGAGTTTTACCAATCTTTCCATCACGTACCATATCGCCGCTTCCCAAGCAAAACAAAAACTAAAAAATGAGGGGTTCCATCCATTATCAGCTACGCAGTCGCCTATTTTCGTTAGACGAGACGGCAAACGGATTCATTCACGAAATATTCGTTTGCGTGATAATTGTCTTTTTTGTATTTTTGCTAATTAGGTTGATGAGGAGGCGGGAGTTGTACACGCGTTTTGCCGCCTTTGTCGTATCGTCGTGATTTATACGTCGAGTATGGTTGAATCGAACGAAATCATTCAATTGTCTTTCAACGTGCCGCACGGCGTGTGGACCTCCTACTAAGTGGAAAAAAGAAAAACACGGAAACCTTCGTATCTTGTACGGCTGAAATGTTTCAAGTAGCCTAGAGAGTTCCTAAAAATCTCCCATGTTTTAGCAGCTTTTTACTGCAGTTCAGTGGCTACCACCTACCAGTTTTTAAACTTAGGATTTTGGTTTTTCAAACAGAAATTCCTACACAAATTTCTGTAACCTGTCGAGTTCGCGATATACAGAATTTTACCCTGAGTGTCGACTCAGAAGAGCTTAGTGATCCGACCACTGGAACTGAACTCTGGAGTCCTTACTAGTCAGAGTATTTAAATTTTGAGGTATTGCTATGTAGTACATTACATGCTTTACACTCAAAATTGTCCATAAAAAGGGAAACATTGAAATAGAACTAAAAATATTAGTGGGTGGGACTTCTTGAAATCAAGAATGCTGTTATAAACCAGAGCTTGCGTAATTTTGAGAAGACATATTAACAGTTTTCCAAAACAGTTTTCTTACCTAATCTTTGGTTCAATACATTTTCTGTAACTGGATCTACATTTTAACAATCAGCTGTTTTTTTCGCATGCTTAACATCATAGAGCTTACCATTTATATTTATGTGACATGGAAACTACTGTTGTGCTCAGTCGAAGATCGACTATTTTACCACGAAAATATTTAAGCTTATCGGTATGCTTATTGGTACCAGACTTGTCTGGGAGGATAGCAGCACTGGCTCGATAGATCGGTAGGCCACCGCGAGTCACTGTATGGTGATATTGATTAAAGGTCATACAATCACCTCTAACGATGCTTAATGAAGTCCAATGCATGACGCATCTCCTAGGGACTGATCAACGCTTAGGGCTTTATCCTTTTTTTATCAGGATGCGTGTTGGTTTTGAATCCACAGTATCCAAAATTTTTTAAATATTAAGTTATCAATATCAAATTTGGATATTTGCCAGTTATTGGATAAACGAACAGAAAATTTTTGACATTTTTCTTAATTGCTATCCTGCACATTCATGAATTCTACTTACATATCATATTGCGATTTGTGTGATTACTTAAAGAAGCGCTCTGCCGTTCGAATTGTAGCCGACGGGTTCATGGGACAATTAGTATAAAAAGGGAAATTCAGTAATGGTCTGCCGTTTTTATGAAGAGTACCAGAATGTAGTGTTTGATTTTCTTAATATTCTTTATGTATAAACTGTATTTATTTGTGCATATTTTTACACATTATACTGAGTGATATGCATTTCTGAGAAGCTGCAGCAGCTAATGATTCTCTTAGCGGGGTCCGTTCGATTCGATCGAGAATCAGCAGAAGGACAAGTGTTGCAAATGAAGCAGTCAAATTCACTAATCGACTGAAGCAATGGCAGTCATGTGACTAGGCCGAAAACATTTGCTCTTGGTGCAGAGCACCTTTCCTTTTAAACTGAATGATTCCTAGACTAATTATCAAGTGTCAACTAGTTCGTGAGATCTCCCTTGTTCTTTTGCAAAGTATTACTTGTTAAAATTATTTTATCTAACAACAGTCACGAATAACGACTCGAATGTCTCATATATCGACGGATGTCAGACTCAACTGTTAGAGTACTGCTACAGTATCACCGTGTGATCACCTCGTTTACGGTAGCGTCACCTAATCTGCAAACCAACACGGCTTCTTTCGCAAACACACAACGCCGCATACTTGTTCCTTGTGCAATTACAACTTATTACTTCTATGACGTCATCATACGACGTAACAAAGAACTCTCAGATGAGTCGGCAAATATAGTAAGGCAACTTTTGAACTCTGTCGACAAAGCCATCTGTCCTGTCCATGCTGCTATCTATTTAGTATTGATGAGAAATGAAGGCAAAATTTTCTCTGCAACACAATATTCATTGAAAATATTCGAAACACAACATAAAAATTTTAAAAAAGCACACAATATGTATGACACCTCATAAGTGATAACTAAAATGAGTACAAATTTGAATACAATTAGTGGTGTACTTCTGAACAAATCGAGGTGTTGATTGTTCACCGATTTTCTCCACCTTCCCTCTTGTCGTCATGAAAACACGGTCCTCATGCTAGATGTCGGTGGCGAATCGATAAGATTCCGTTTCCGCTACTTACAAAGGCAATTTAGCACCCAAAATATAATGAGCTCAGTTGTGGTGCGGACATACTAAGGTAAACCCGCTAAATTCAGAGGCGACATTATTTGAGCAATGTTGTGTAAAACACATACAAAAACAATTGTACATCAAAGTGACACCATACAAATCTAGTGTGTAACAGGCAAAAAAAATGCATAACTCGTACATAACCTTTTCAAAACGGCACTGGTGTGTACTCGTCAATTTCTCGAAACAATCGACAGTATTCGCTGAGAAGATTTGGCCATTGAGAAATCGCATGAAATCGACGTAATAACAAATTGCAAGCACTTCTGCATCAACTAGTACTAAGCCATATTTTCTATTTTGTTGCTTATAGTTACTTCATCAGCTTGTTCAGTGAAACTGTTGGTAGAGTTCAGTCGGAAACATGGCCGATGCTGCATGATGTGCGAGCGGATAGGGTGGAGGCGGACCGTAGGCTGGTGGACGAATCAGCGGCGAGCTCGACGGGAACTGTAGCTGCGCCTGAAAACATTTTATCTTTTTTGCTTGACTTTTTGGCAAACATCGACGTAGTGAATGAAAACTACGGTAAACGAATAGCCACCGAGTCGACGAACTAGTTGGGACACGGCGAGTCGTGTATGTTTTTTTCGTATCAAAGCTGAATGCAGATCCAGCTTATAGGGTTAGTCCGTTAACAGATTGATGGAACTCCTACCTCAATGTTTTCTCATTTAAAAATCAGTTGGCAAGCAGTTCAACAATTCTCGAGGTAGAAAATGAACCTGTTGGTGGAATCGAACTTATGAATATCTGGGCAGCATTTAAAGCTCATTGAACTATGTTATACGTTCCATGTTGGTCACCAACTCTCCAGCTAATTACAGTAGCGGTACGTTAAAAAAACACCTTTGATATTAAAGCACATATAAAAAAAACGAATCACAAACAAAAAAATTTAGCCAACTATGTCTTAGTGGAAGATTAACTGTAGGAAGATGAGCAGTTTCCACTATTTCGAAACGCTTTTAATCATTGAAAAAACTTTAAAATTAACGTTAGTGATATTCAAGAGAAATGGTAGCTGATACACGTAAACGAAGTGGCTTACCTCGCTTATATCGGGCTTCAAGTTCAAGAATGGATCAACTGGAGTGCCTGTGCTCGCGTGTCCCGAGTCACTGCTTTCATCCAATTCCGGTGTGAGGCAGTTTTTTTCGTGCGCCTAAATGAGGCCAATTTCACGATGATAGTGGGAAGCGTTTCACAAACGTCGCCTTATTCAGGCCGATCCGTTTTTATGTGATGGTTCATGAATGCAATTCACTACAACGCTAAGTGCTGTCTTTGTACCACACATAAAGGCACGTATACACCGGCTTTAAAAAGAAACCTGCTTTTCACGCTCCGATTATGAAATTTAAGTAATTTGAGAACTGATCGTGCAACTGTAATGCAGAAAAACGGCGATAAAATATGAATATGAGCCCATGCACCGGGTCATGGATAAGGTCAGTGTGCCTCGTCCGATCATCGTTAGTTATCTCCCCTACCTCGTTGTGCGCGAAATGCGTTAAGCCAGCGAATGCCAATAACATGTCATTATTGAGCGGATTTAAGATACTGATGAGCACTAGGTGAAGTATAAGGTGTGAAAATAAAAACTGTTGACACAGAATATATAGTATCTGATGAAGCAATGACAGTTCTAGAGTATTCAACTAACCTTCATGTGTTTTCTTAACGAACTCGGGTGGCTATAGACCTTCCGACATCCTTTAATCTAAAAAACAAATAAGGCCTACTGATCGAAAAAAGCAATACGAAGTGGTGGAAACAATAGGGAAAAAGAAAAAGGTGAAAGGAAGAAAAAGGTAGAATGAGCACGTTTAAAGTCATATTATGTTGTTTGTTACCTTGCATTCATAAGGTTTTTCCGATGTATGTACATGCATGTGTTTTTTGCGATCCGACGAATTGGCGAAGGTCTTGTCACAACCCGCATGTGGACATGGAAACGGCTTCTCTTCTGAATTCTAACACCATGTACCTGCAGATGATTTCCCAATCTACCAGTAATAGCAAACTACGATTGTCAACAGTTGATTTGGTAGACCTACTAAAATTCATCACTGCCACTAGTGCTTGTCGATTTTGTTTTGATTTTCATAAGATTTTACAAACAGGTTAGTGAAGGAAGCCCCTCCCAAGCAAGAAAACGTTTGGCGTATTATGAGATCAACAGTTTTCTTTGTTATTTGAATTCCTCCAACATGTAAAGACGATGAGGAGGTCACCATATTTTGCAAGCATTACTTATTTTTGTTCATTCACCACTGGCATTGTGGCACGTTTTTCTCGGCCAACCTAGATGTGCCAAAAGGACCACTTTTGTCGCCTATCTAATACAATTGTGCTCATACCCTACATTGAATAGACCGCGTCAAGTAATGCCAGAGGCATTCATTTATGGAACAACGTTTTTCGAGGTTATCTAAGTGCACGATCTGAACGATTTCTCGTTTTTCACTTTATTTTTGTTCTAATTTGGAACGTTACCACTATAGCTGATTTCTTCAAAATACCATAGACACAAAAGTAATCATTTGCATAGTTGAGTTATGGAAATGACACTAAAATCTGGATCTATGCCGGCAAGCGCAGATGGTACGAGTGACGAATTTGAATGTGATGATTCTTTGATGTGAAAATTTCAAAGACATTAGATATTCGAAATACGAATAAATAGACATACGTCCACATATATATATATATATATATATATGTATATATATATATATCATTTCAGCACTTTGAAGCACGAAGAGAAAAAGAATGCGAACGAAAAAAAATGCTGTATGACAGCGACAAGTTCGGTCTCTTCATCAGCTTTCGGCACCACCACAAGCACTTGATGTTCACGTAGGAAGACGTGGACATGATCAGCATAACATGGTGTTGTCCAGCTTGTATTCGTGCTGTGTAGTCGAATACAAATGGCTCCTCGTAATTGACATTCGACGATTTGGCAATAGGGCTAATTATCACACCGTTCGGCAGGTGTACACACGTCTTGTATATAAGAGTGTCAAATACGATATTTGGTGGAGTGAACAGCAGCAGCAGCTTAAGGATGATTGAGGTATGAGATATTATGTGATGTCGTCAGACTCATCATGGACAAAACACGATGACTGATGCCATTAGGTAGTGGTACCAGTACTTCAACGACAGAATGCGTTAAAATAAGTTCACATACAGTCATACACCTCACGTATATTAGTAATCAGTTCTCTATAACACTCTCATTTTCTCATTCTCTTTCGCGTCTTTATGTTCTTACTGTAGGTACACCAGCGCATGTCATAAATTGTGTGTGCGCTTCACCTTTCTCTACAGAAACACCTACACACACATACACACACGCACATGCACCCATATACATATATAGACACAAACATACGTACACACATACACATACACATACACACATACAAATAGATAGACAGGCAATCAGACAGACAGAGAAACAGACACGTACACAAGCAGAGCTGCGAGATTTGCAAAATTTGCTTAACAATAGAGAGTCATAAATAACCGTGCATTTTCAGATGCGAATAAAACCCATTCAGTCGGATTCATAAAATTCACGTTTGTATCGAGACGATCAATAAAATAGGTAGGTACTGTATATTGGGATAAGAGCATTGAATATGACAGTTGCGAACAACGCTGAAAAACGGATGAACGACCGAAGTTCGTCACGGGCGAATAGGGTACATTGACAGTAATTCGCCGAGAAGTCTCTATACTTTGCCAAATCCTTGACATCATTTCAAAGCGAAACGCACTCATATAATCCTAATGCACATGGGGAACAATGGTATTGTATACCCTTTTAAACTTACTCGTATGCGTCCTCACGTGAATTTTCAGATTTTCACTTCGTGCAAATTCACGGTTACACTGTTCACATCGAAATGGTTTCTCACCGGTATGTACACGAATGTGATTTACTAGTTTGTACTTGGCCTAAACAGGCAAACAATGTAAGAAACAGATTACTGATAGTCTACTGGCCGATCCAGCTACCTTGAATGGTTTTCCTACTCGGTCACAGTTTCTCCATAAACACACATGAGTAGCGGTTTCAATAAGACCAATATGCTGTTGTGAGACATGGGCCGCAACTTGCGATGAACTCGCAAACATCATACCGCACTCTTTTCCCGTCTAAATGATCAAAAACTGAACGACAGAAAAACCAGTCGAAAACATGGCGTCTATGAAACAGTAACTGGACTCTACTCACTTCATTCAACCATTCACAACGTATTACAGTAGTTGTTGACTTCTGTGGAAATTGGAAATGAATAGGCGCTTGTCTATAAAACATTCGGAACAAAATTAAACAACAAACTGTAAAGTACGAACAACATATTGACTGCACCGATAGGCCGCAAAATAGTCGGGATGGTTATTTTGTTGGTGAAAGAATGGTGATCTAGAACCGAATCGTGCACCTTCCAGGTAAAAATCCGGTAGTGGAGCACACGAATAGGAATGTAACGAATGATCTCAAACAAAAATATTAATGAATGAAATAAAAATATTCTTAGGAAATAACAAAAACCGACCGCTTCGGAACATCATGCCTTGTTGCGGATAGCACTCGGCTGGTGTTGGTTCACGACCAAAACGTTGCTGACAATATCCACTGAACATTGTACCGTAATAGGAGAGACTTGAAATCTGGGTACAGTAACCCGTGGCGATTTCCTACCGTGCTGCACGGGTATTACCTCACAGTGGGTTGCACGGCTTGAGGCCACTTCAAGTACCGCCCCGTTTCACTGTTTCTCTTTCGCCATCGGCGGCTATGGGCGTGGTCAGTGCCCATGATTGGCTATCGCAGCGAATCTGGGAGGGTCCACCTTTTTAGGTTATAATCGAGGAGACTCACCAGGGGTCAGCTGGCACTATTTGAATTACTATCTAGCTGATTTCTCGATTGTACATCTTAGGCTTCATTTGCCTTGAGAGTATAGTATTTGACGAAATAGAATTATAAAACTGCGTATTTTGCCTTGCGAGAAGAAAAATGAAATATATACCACATAAACAACTTACGGCATCCAAAAGCTAACGAAACTCGGTGCCACATAGTAGTTCATGTCAGCGCGCTAAATTTTTCTATTATTACTGCTCTGCAGCTTTATGAGCAAGTACTTCATAACCTATTTCATATTTCGAATAAACTTTTCACTTGTAAAGTTTGTAGTAAATTTTCAGCTCAGTGCAGTATTGAAGGAACCACAGCGTCTCTTACCATCGCTTCATGACTCCCACTATGAAATCTTTTGCTATAACACTGGATACTTAAATATGTTTTACAAGTATTTCATATGGATGATGTCGGGCGATGTGTTATGCACCATGCATACATACCATTTCTTTATATTTGATACTCTTAGTGCCATTTATATGCACATACTTTCTATTGCAGTCACACTTTTGCCGATCTACGATCGCATTTAATCCACATGATAATAATTCAAAATAGTGCGAAAACCTTACTAACTTTCCACTAGTACAGATTCTGTTATGTTGGAGTGTTAAATGAGCTGACGGAGACACTGATGATGGGGTGCTGGTGAGGGGGGATGATAATGATGGTGATGACAATTGGGTGAGCAGAATAGAAGAAATGTAGAGGTGGTGCCAATACGGCGATATGAGGCAGTCATCATTCATTTATATCGCTATGTCCACCCGCCGACCAAATTGATCATTACCTGGGGTTGATAATGCCGTTAATGAATGTCTATCGTAATCGTCACCCATTCAAATAAAATCTTTACGTTTTCATTAACACAGCTATGACAGTAAGACTACTATATAGCTCACATCCTATTGCACAGTTATGTTGTATATATGTTTATTTACTTTACATATATACGCATATACACTTTTTTATTTTTTTTTCAATTTGTTCTACCCGTCTTTTGCACCCTCTGTACAGATCCAAGCACTTCATCAATTCGATTAGTTTCCTCGCTTCCATTATCCACCAAGGCCTTCCAACTATTACGCGTGGTTTAGGCTGTTTGTTAAGGATTGTCTTATTCTTAATGAATGTTGTTGAATGTCGAGTCGGTTCTCTCTGAAATCCTAAGATAACCGGCCTAGAGCGTCTCCATGCGGATTGTAGGAAGTGAACTGTTCCTTGACAAGTCCGGTACCATGTTCCCGTCTCCGGAAATATCAGAGGCTTGGCAAGCGTTGAGTGCGATTGAACCAGCACTGTATTTGTGATGTTTAGCACCATTACCACTTTACTAGCTTTCCTCTCTATATGTATAGGTATGTCGTCATTATTTATTATCAATCAGCATTCTTGATTATTTCTTATTTACTTTTTTTGCATAAAAGAAAACAATAATTTCAGAGGGAAAAAATTGTTGGATTGGAAAACACATGATGTCAGCGATACATCAATTAATATAAATAACTTGTTGTGTTGCAATTTACTGAATTTATAACTAACGAATCTACTGTTTGATATGGTAATATTTGAATTTTTCCATTAAAAAAAGCGATTAGAAACGGAAATAAAAAACTTTGCCACTAAAACGAAAAAGACTAATCTAAAATGGTTGTCAGATTTCATTCGATCTCTCATTTACAACTCGCCAATTCCGGAGAGCGTTGCTAGGATTTGAAGCATTTCTGAAATCCTGGCTTACTGCTGGATCAACTCGAAGCGTAGATTCAAAATGGGGTTATTTCTCTAGCGAGAATTTCCATTCAGAACAAAATTTGTCACCAAATGAAGAAAATCGATATTTCCAACTTGTTAGTAACTTAGTAGAAAAAAAGTTGCGAAAAATAACATTAACAACGAAATTCATCCCACATTCAATTTATTCGTACTGGTTAGCGCTAGAAAGAAAAACATACATGCTTAGCGATTTGCAAACGTTTGAAAACGCTGTATATTTTGCTCAGAACACATGTACTTCGTAGCCGAGTCACGTAGCTGCGCCATCGCAGTGACTTTTCGCTTCAGGACTGTCCTGGTGCTATCGAAATTTTCATCAAATTCAGTTTAGTCCAATGTGATTGGCTTTACGAAAGAAAGCGTATTCGCCGTCGACACACTGGAATCATAATGTACACCTCTAGTAACATCTTTTTTTTTAAAGTTACGATAAGCAGTAACTTATATCGTAACATTAATCGCACTCTTATCATTATTACATGTTGGAAAACGTTTCATGTGATCGGTCGAAGCAAGGTCGTTCTTCAACGATAATGTTACGATAGATGACAGTGGTGTCGCGTGCCGCCTGCCGTTATTCTCACCACCAAATCAATCAGAATCGCATCAGTGCCGAAAACGAGTACGGTCACATCGCACTTTCACTCATCACACTGATCGTATGATTCCAAATCTACAACTGACTACCTGAACTTCTTCGATAAGCGAGGATTCTTTCTTCTGTCTCCAATAAGCTGACCCAACTTGTCCATTACTGAAAAACAAACGAAAAAAAGTGGGCATGGTATTGATGACTAGTGGGTATAGTGCATTAATTAGAGGGGTTCTGCTACGCAGACGTTGTGGTCGAAATTCTGATTTGGCTCCAAGGACGAACTGGTCTCCCTAAGCTTTTGGGGTCAAGAATTTTGAACTATACTTTCGATGGTTAAAAACACTGGACTCATACATCTATATGCCTCCGGCAAAAAATAGTGAAGGCTAAATGCGCATTAATTTACCACTACGGCACAAACGCATGGAAAATGTCTACGAACGGATGAACACTGACCACTCTATTTCTTTAGCAATTAGTTGAAGTTCGACACCGAAATAACCTTGTCCACTTGAAGTTGGCAACCTATTTTTTCATAATTAAAAGGAAAGAAACTAAATATCTATACATAAATGTTGTAAATGTTGTTAATACCAAGATGAAAGTCACTCAGACAAAACGCAACATTTTTAAAAAAAGCGCAAACGATCTTGTCTTAGAGAGCTTCTGGCCAATGACTGATTAAAATCCTGTGAAAATCTTATGGAAGAGTGGTCATCATCACCGTGGACTATTCCCAACTCAGCGCATGCGAAGAGTTTATACAATAAGTAAAAAATAAAAAACAAGGTAGCATATTTTTGACGTTATCTAAGCAAATTGTAAATATTTTCGTGACCTGCTCTTAAATTAAAAGGTCTACTGATATTTCGATGTTTTTCTTCAATGAGCAGACGTGAGGTTGTTATAATAGAATTTATTAGTATACAATAGCTAAGGTTTCGCCTTCTTTAGAGCTTGGAAAGGTCAAATCGAGGTCTACTGATATTTTGGCGCTGCTTCTCACTAGGGTCAATTCACGTTAAAGTTGGTTTAATTTCATCTTTTCCGATTTAAATTTCGCCTAGTTCATTTGCCCTTCATTTCTCGTACCAAATAAGTGAGCGACTTTCTTATTTGCGAAACAAACTCAATCGCTATGATGAAATGTGTAACATATGGGCTATGGGTGTCGTGAAAATGGCAAACCGTTTCCAGAAATATTGGGCAAAAATAGTTCCAATGTTTGGCGACCGTACTGAGAGATTTTGGGAGACAACTGCAGATTGCATTGATGTGTACCATCATTGGTGCGAAATAATTACTGCTGTATAGTTACGAATTTTGAAACATTAAAATGAGAAATATGTCAACCGATGACTGAAAGAAACTAGTGAGCCTTGTAAAACCTCGCAACTACATATTTAATACTTGAAACTTATATTGCTAAACACCGAATCCGAACACGTTCCCATGAGAAAGAGGGTTTTATTTCTTCTTGATGTCTACGCTTTTCTCTGACTAAAATACAGAGGATTTTCTGTTTATATCGTTATGCATTACGAATGAAAACAAGTTAAATCACAACATCAGCAATGCTGTTTTCGTTCGCTGGAATTCTCACAGTGGGAGAGATACGGTAGTAATTCGCATTTCTGAAACCGATGAATAATGGTGTGAACAAACTCGTTATGGTGTTTATCGTTCATAGCCAAAATTCTTTAAGAAAAATTAAGTCGATTTATACGATGTATACTGTATTTATGCACTATACGGTGAATCGTGAAGTCCTGGAACTACTTAGACAACATCGAACGAACAAAATAAAAATTGATGTCAATGATGGTGTAGTAAATTCATCTTCTATGACTTGTGACGCAACTGAGTATGGTAGCCCCAAACGCGTTAAGTATCAATTTCCAATCAAGCACCAATGATGGGAATAAGGGGACATTATCTCTCGACCGTCTGCCCAATCGTCTTCACTACCACTAGAAACCGGTAGACGATCATATAATCGTCAGCGGCGATTTGCATAACCACTTTAACTCACACCAACGCATAACTTCTTAATCCGATAAAACTCGAAGAAATGCTGATCTTAAGAATCTTTTCGAAATGTTCCATTTTATTATGTTGAATATAATCTGTAGAAAATTTCAATAACGGCCATTTGGCCAGAAAAAAATCACAGGTCCGAATTTATACTCAGTGCAGAAATACCAGTAACATATTTTCCGATCTTTCAAATTCCTGCATAAATTCATCGAATAGCCATGAGTGATGGGCACATGCGAGTATACACAAATGTACATGTATTTAAACACGGAGTTCTAATGGTGGCATTGAATGGTAGGAGCAAATCCTCAT